CTTATCTTGTCCTATAAAAACTCTTCTGGTCTTTTACACGTCTCTTAACAAACCCCCTTAATGTAAAAGGCTTTAATAAGCGATTTTGTCAAAATGCCCTATTAAAGAAAGTCATTTTAGTTAAAAGAAACTCTCAACTATTAATAAAAGGATTACGATCAATTTACAAATCTTTTTACCTAAATCTTCACTTTTTCTTTCATCTAGCAAAAAATCAAGCTAATTCTTTAATGGTTGAGGGATATTTTGGTCTTTCCAAGTCAAGTATTTATCACATAATGAATTCGACTCAATGATATTAGTTTTTTGAGGGGTTAATTGAGAAAATTTTAAAGGGTTAAATCAAAATTTAAAGTTGAGATAGATTAACTATAACACCCCAAATTTGACGAACAAACATTTACTTATTTTAAGTAGTTGAGGGGGGGGGTAACATTTTCTCCATAGTTGAGGGGAAGATTTATAAAATTAACCCTTAAACAAAGCACAATTTAAGACACGTGATATGAATCTTATAATAGTGGATTTTATAGCAAGTCTATCAGTATCTCTGAAAATATTTTGCTATAAAATTCGCAGAGAGAAATTAATCTTTATTTGAGATGACTATGCGATCCTTTTGGTTCTCCTTATTTTTTATGATTTGTAATAAATTACTTAACAAAATAAATTAAGTTGTTCATTTTATATGTCTCATCTTTATAAAGCATACAGTTTGGATATAAGTGTTATTATATTCTTTTAACTCTTTAGCTTAAATTTTTAGATATTATTCAATATTGGATAGATCTATATTATTTTATTAAAATACAATCCATATGTGTACAAAATATGTTTAAATCATTCTCAAATTATATTTTATAGTTTTCTAAAATTAGAGAGTAATCATTTTGACAAATTAATTAAATAGTTGAGAAGATGTAGGAATATTATAATATCAGATTTTGGAATTGATCAATTAATTTATATTTTCTTTCTTGATTGAATTTGCATATTATAACTTTAAAATTTCTATAGAAAAGTTTTTGAATATCTTTAATACTCGGTCGCCAGATAATAGAAAGTGGAAGTAGACAATATGTGCGAGTGATTTCTTTATAATTAAACAAAATCCTCTATGACCAAATAAACCTATCATTTTACGTTGATGAATTCAAGATTTATTTTTTATTAATAATAATAGTTTTTTTAGATATTAGTGCTTACATCATTAATATTTTATAATTATAATTCCAAATCATTAAATTGCTCTTAGAACATTAATATTTTAAGACTTTAAAACTCACTAATTATGTGGAAGGTAAAGTGTTGAAACCAACAAGATTTTATATATTAAAATATCTAAAACTTTTTAATATATTTTGATAATCATAAATTTTTTTGCAACTATGTTATAGTAAATTCATAAACTAAAAATCAACAATTATAATATTTGACCACGTGTATTGCACGTGCATTCCACCTAGTAATATAAATTTCTCCTTCTGACGCACTTCATCACAATCGTAGACCCAAATGTAACCTTCAAGCGTGCATCCGCCAAGGTCACCCTATAGCCTGCTGCCTCCAAAGCTCCAAGTGAAATGATGTTCTTCTTCAACTGAGGAACGAACCTCACTCTAACCAACTGCCGAATCACCCCGTCACTCATCCTGATCAGAACGGTACCGATACCACCAATAGAGCATTTGTGATCATTCCCCATGAGCACGATATCCCCTCTTTCCAACTCCTGAAAGCTGGAGAACCAATCCCTCCTAGGGCAAATATGGTATGTAGCCCCCGAATCCAACATCCACTCTGTAGAGTAAGCAACACAAACTGACGGCAGTGCAGATAACGAGTAGCCCGAAGAATTCGAATCTGAATCGTTGCCATTTGCCTTGATAACATTCGCCTCTGAAGCTTGAATAGCTTTTCCCTTATTCTTCCTGGCTCGATCAACTAACTTTGGGCATTCGGCTTTCCAATGTCCATCCTCTTTGCAAAAGGCACATTGATTCTTACGAACTCCAAGATGTGCCCCTCTAGACTACGACCTCCCACTACGGTTTGGACCCTTTGCTCTTGCGACCAACTCCCCCGCTACCGGCTCAATCGAAGTCTCCTGATCCTTCTTTCGAAGCTGATAATTCACAAGTGCAGCGGTGACCTCACTATACGAAAGAGATGCCTTCCCATTAATAAGAGTAAGAACGAAGGTCTCATATTCCTCGTCGGACAAGGAACTCAACAACAACAACGCATTGTCCTCGTCTTCAATCACCACATCTACATTCGCCAAATCCGTAAGAAGCTTCGTGTAGTGGTTCATGTGATCACCAATCACCACATCTACATTCGCCAAATCCGTAAGAAGCTTCGTGTAGTGGTTCATGTGATCACCAATGGAGATTCCTTTCTTCAACTGGAAGAGGTAAAGCCTCCTCTTCAAATGCAAGCGATTCTCCACACTCTTGGTCAAATACTTGCTCTCAAGGATCTCCCAAATCTTCTTTGCAGAAGTCTCATTGATCACATCATACTTTAGATCTTGAGTGAGACAAGACCTAATCACACCACACGCCGTTCGATTCATCTTTTTCCAAACCTTCTCATCAATGTTGTCCGGTTTCCCGTCCAACTCCAACGTATCTTCCAAATTTTGCGCGTTGAGCGCATCCATGACTTCGCATCGCCAAAGTCCAAAATTGTTTGTGCCATTGAACTTTTCCACATTTTCCCGACCAACTCCAACGTATCTTCCAAATTTTGCGCGTTGAGCGCATCCATGACTTCGCATCGCCAAAGTCCAAAATTGTTTGTGCCATTGAACCTTTCCACGTCAATCTTCATCGATCGAGTGGATATTCAAGCTTTGGACGGTCTTCACGTCGGAAGTACTGCCCACAACTCCTTCTTTCTCGGTCATAATCCTCAAAGCACCACCAAACCAATGCGGAAACAAACGAGAAATAGATCCAAACTGAAAAAGACGAGATTTTTACCAAAAAGATCCCACCTTTATCACCAAACGAAGCCCTAGATGAACTTCCAAAGCGATCTACTCCTCCAAATAGCCCAAGCATAGCCCGAGCTCTGATACCACTTGTTGTGCTGACGGCGGCGCCGAGGAACCAAAACAAACGCCGATCCAAGAAGACCAAAAACAACCAAATATCAATGCACAAACCAAACACCAATTTTAACGTGGTTCGGCAATTGCCTACGTCCACGGGGCAAGAAGAGGGAGGGTTTCCACTAATAGAGAAGGAGAGTACAAATTGAGATTACAAATCGCTCAAACGAACCAACTAATCTCACCAACAAATCTCTCAACCTCTCAACCAATAACCCTAACAAATAGCTCAGAAAGATCTCTCTTTTTGTGCTCAAAATCCCCCAAAACGCTCCTACAAAACCCTCAAATCGTATTGGTATTTATACCAAAACAGAAACCCAAACAGACTGTAAATAGGAACCTGAACTTTCCAAAAAAAACTCGTCGTAAGTCGACTTATCAGTCTGCATAAGTCGACTTGGCAGAGCGAAAAACGATAACTGGAGAAGAGATCATAAGTCGACTTATCAGACCTGATAAGTCGACTTGCCAGAGCCCAAAATCAACAATCCAGAGCAGATCGTAAGTCGACTCATGCACGAACATAAATCGACTTATGCCTATGCATGAGTCGACTTATGACCAAAAACTGCTTTTTCCAAGTTCTCCTCCACAGAATATACACAGTGACACCGGTAACGAAATGAGCAGAGAGTATGCAGAAAATAGGCCAGATTTGATTCGGAAAGGATTTTAAGTTGATGCGATTGATCCAATGGTTCTCTCATCGGGTATTCCTGTACAGGTAACCACTATTTCTTGCTAATCAATATTGTTACATACTTTCATTATGATAAACTGTTCTTAGATGATTCATTGACTTATTGTTTCTTGTTTCTGTGAAAATTCATATTAAGTGTGAAGACAAACTCTCTCTTCAGATTTCTATATAAATAGAAGTTTCATTATGTAACAATATCTGGTTTATTCAAAGCATAATTGAGACAGAAGTGGAAATGTAGACCTTTTTGACGAAGTCATTATTATTTATCAACAGTGGGAGATGATATGAATATTCAATTTGAAAATTATTGAAGATGGCATTTAATTGATACAACTATTGTTCAACACCATGATGTCAACAGGAAAAAACGCACGAAGGAAATTGAAGGAGAGAAAGGATTAGGCAGGGAAAAACCGGATTAGGTGGGAACATTGTGACATTAACTGAAACAGGATGCAAATTGGACCATGTCTTTTAAATTAATTCCACAGGCCATATTAAGAATAATATCAGCCTAAGTTTAATGTCTAAGTTATCACCGTATTCCTTTAGCACCTTGGTTATAGAGAGGCCTTCGGCTACAATTCTCACTTTTCTTAATGAAGAATGAATATGTCACACGCACTCTCTCTCTCCCTCCCTCTCTCTCTCTCTCTCTCTCTCTCTCTCTCTCTCTTATATACACAAATGTAATTCATTTGATTTTATGTGTGGAGTATCTGATGATATCTACAGATTTGATTTAAATAGTTAGTGTGACAAAAATTTCCATTTAAGGTCAAACAAGTTTAACGTGAGGCCTTGGTTACTAGTGCTTGCTGTCCAAAAATTACAGAAATTTCAGGCCTCAATTTTCAAGATTTAATAGGGCCTCCAAGATGGAATGAGGATCTCACAGATTAGAGATGAGATGTAAGGACAGTTTCTTTCATTGCTCTTTCATGACAATCACTAGTAGAAAAACCACCAATCTAGACGGAACAACCTAGACGGAAAAAAAAAATCTGTCTAGGTTGAATCAAACTAGACGGAAATTTTCCGTCTAGGTTGATCCGTCTAGTTTGGGTCAAACTGTCATGTCCCCAAATTCCGAATCTAAAAGGGAATATTAGAGCCGGACTAAACCTGTGAAAAATCCTCCAAAAATACATATTCATTAAAAGACCATCACAATAATCTCTTTATTGAACTAAAAACAACAATAAATATTCTCTATAATCCCAAAAGTCAACATTAATCCAATTAACTTGATAAAACAAATATTCCTCAACTTGATATAAAACTTGACCTAAAGGAAAGAAGTCTCCTAATTACAAAACTCTCAATTTATAACCTAAAAATTAAAGACTTTATTTAACCTTCACCTAGAAGATAATAACAATCCCGAATTTTTATTCTCTGCTCCATTCTAAGAACTCATGAACCACCAACTCAACTAAATCCCGAGTCTCTGAAAAGAATGAATATAACACAATGAGTTCACAACTCAATAAGTGGATAAATTCATATATTGAACACTGATTTTACAAAACTAAAATAAATTGACTTTATACGCAAAATACTAAAATAGTAAAAGTTATAATGCAACATATTTAAAATGTAGAAATGCAATGGAAATAAGCAGGTCACATCTCAATACGGTCAACACTTCGATACTCCGGTTGACTTGGTAAACCCCGCAATTATTAAGCACGTGGTTCCGGGACGGTGAGACCCAAAGTTGGGCTCTTAGCGCTAAAATAAAACCTCATAGAGGCACATTAAGCCCTGTTTTAATAACTTGCTTATATCCGACATATACCGGCATATTGACGTGAGATGCATATGCTTTAAGAAAATCGAACAAAGTTCGTAAAACTAAATATGTATAAAAAAATGCCAAAGGCCACCAATAGTGAAATAAATCAACCACATATGCACCTCAACTTACTACTATATGAAAAAACATAACAATTAACATAAGCTTATACCAAATAACCACGTGCATTAATCCACTCAACAATTAGTATGCGAGCAACCATACAAAAGGTATAACCCATCAAAACAACTTACATATAGTCATGTACTTTTATATGAAAAATACGCAGCGAATAATGTACAAATTCACCACTTACAGAATACCAAATGCGATCTGAAGTCCACTCATGACATGGTCGTAAAGTCTGTAGAAATTCGAAAAGAATAAATGTAAGAACCCATCACAGGACTATCATTCCTATTAATTCATTGATATTTTTCTATTTCCATTAAGTTAGGATACTAGCTCTTTGCACATCTAGGTCGCTTATACCTATAGCTTCTGACCAAAAACAAAACATTAATTCCTCGTACCTATTTCAATTTGCAAACAAACAAGCATGTTCACTAATAACTTTATAAAAGAATCTAAAGAGCAGTTACAACTATGTCACTACATCTATTCTCATCATATATATAGATATATAGTTAGCCTAGAAAGAAATTGATAACAAATAAAACTCACCAGATAAAAGTCAAAACATAGTCCAGATCCTCAAAGAATAAGATCTGTGAGCTCAAAGATGAAAACAAAGTCGCAACAAAGTCGCAACAAAGTCGCAAGGATGGTCATCTCTGAGATCTATAAATTTCAATAAAATAATATTTTTTTTCTCCAGTTCTTTCTGGCCGACTTTGGCTGTGACTTCTAAACGAACGCTACTAGGGTTTTTTTTCTATTTATTAGCTTTTCCATTTCCAATAAACCCCCTAGCCAATTTCCTTTACAACAAACCCCTTAACAAATAGAAAAACCCCTTAACGCTACTAGGGTTTTTCTATTTTATGCGCCAACAAACATCGAATCTTCTCTAGCAAAGACTGATTTAGCCTCTCCGTCACTCTATTCTGTTGTGATGTGTGACTAACTGTGAAGTGTCTCTCTATGCCCTCATCTCGACATAGTTGCTGAAAGGGGTCGGAAGTGTACTCGGCGCTGTTATCGGATCATAACGTCTTTATCTTTCTCCCAGTCTTCAGTTCTAACATCTTCTTCCACTCCACAAATATATATAGGACTCCACTCTTCTTCGTCATGGTGTACACTCAACAATGCCTAGAATAGTCATCAACGAACGTGACGAACCAATGTCGACTACCAAGTGATGCAGTCTTAGTGGGACCACAAACATCTGTGTGCACGTAATCCATGATGCCCCTCGTTCTATGAATGGCAGTCCTAAACTTCACCTTCGTCTTCTTGCCAAGAACACAATACTCACAAAACTCAACCTTTTCACTCTTTGCTCCCTTCAATAGCCCATGTTTATACAAAATCTGTAGTGACTTCTCTCCTATGTGCCCCAACCTATAGTGCTAAAGTCTGCTCATGTCCGTCTCTGAAATAGCTGAAGCAACCTGGCCAATCTCGGTGCTCTCCTTCAGATAATATAAGTTCCGACTGCGGACTCCCTTCATCATCACCAAAGATCCCTTAGTAACCTTTGCTACAGCATCCTTAAAGGTCACATTGAATCTCTTCGCCTCTAAATCTTCAACTGAGGTAAGATTCTTCTTTAACTAAGGAACAAATCTCACCTCTTCCAATTCACAGACTACTTCATCGTGCATCCGAATCCTCATGGTACCTATCCCACAAATGCCACAAGATTGATCATTTTCTATGATAATAACACCCCCATCGAGTCTCTCAAATGATAAAAATCAATCTCACCTAGGAGTCACATGATAAGTAGCGTCAGAATCTACCATCCAATCTGATACATCCAAGTGGGTCATGTCTGGAGTAATCAGTAGAGAAAAGCTCGAATCATCGGAATCATTGTCTTTCGTAACGTTCACCTCATTGGCCTTTAGGTCATTTTTTTTACATTCTCCTTCTCCTTAATCTTTGGATAGTCTCTCTTCTAATGTCTCTGCTCTTTGCAGAATACACATTGGTTATTTTCTAACTGATGACGACCTCTTGACTTTGACCTTCCTCTATTACCACCTCTCAGATATGGGCTTCTACCTCCCATCGATAAGGCCTCTCCTGAAGTACTAGCGCGGGAAGTCTCCTTGTCCTTCCTCCTCAAATCATAATTCGTCAAAACATTAGTTACTTCACTATAGATGATAGAAGATCTAACGTTCAATAAAGTAAGCACAAAGGTATCATACTCCTCATCCAGTAAGGAGCCCAAAATAATAGCATTGTACTCATCAGATATATTCTCATCCATATTCACCAAGTCCGACAACAACTTAGTATAGTTATTCACATGAACTGCTAGTGAGGTGCCTCGAAACATCTAAAATCTGAATAACCTACACAGCAAATACAATATGTTCTCAACACTCTTCGTAAGGTACTTGTTGTTGAGAATTTCTCATATCTTCATTGCAGACGTCACCCCAATCACATCATACTTCAATTCCTATTCTAAATAGGACCTGATCACCCCACAAGTGTTCATATTCATCTTTTCCTATACCGACTCTTCATATTTAGGTGGCCTTTCTTGGACCATGATGGTCTCCTTCAGATTCTAAGAATTGAGCGCGTTCTGTACGTCGCTCATCCACAAACCAAAATTGATCTTGCCTTCATACTTCACCACACTAATTTTGGCGTTCTAAAAACCAACTTGGACTGTACCCGCCATCTTACTGCTTTTACCAACTTCTTCACCCATACTCACAGACTTCAAATTGTAAAGAAAGATTCAAACTTTATAGAATTTAGAAGTTACCTAACTGAACCCTAGAACAGATTCCAAATAAATCTCCTAATCACACGAGTAAAGCGAAATCTCCAATGGCAACCCCAAACACTATCTCCACCGAAGCCTAGAACTCCAAGAACCAAGCTTCCAAACTGAATCTTCCTCCACCTAATCCTAAACCCTAGATCTGAAATTTGGGCTCTAATACCAATTGTTGTGCGCCTATGCGGAAGCGTGCTCGCACACCAAACTAATCTATAAAGCACGAGAGAGAGAACCAATCCACACACGAGCATAATCCAAACCAAAATACGACAAATCAATCAAAACACAGAGATATACGTGGTTCGGTAATTTGCATACGTCCACGGGGAGAGGATGGGGAGATTTCACTAAATCAAGAAGAGTACAAAAGGGTTACAACTCACGAAACTCACAAATAAGCCCTAAACCAAAGCTCTCTCCTTGCTCACAATATCTCCCTCTCACAATGCTCATTACAATCTCAAATCTCTGTTAAAACTCTCCTCTCTTAACCCTAGAAACGAGTGTTTCTAATATATTTCAAAACCCAATCAGAAAACGGAGCAGGAAACAAAACAGCCCAATATTCGCTATGCGGTAGACCGCTGAACCCCAAATCGCGATCGACCGCCAAAAGTCCAGAGTCTTTTGGGTCTCCTGGGTTTGGGCGCGGTCGACTGTCGAACCCATCGCGGTCGACCGCCAAAATTCCAGAGGCATACTCATGTTTCGTGCACGTTTGCGATCGACCGTCGTGCCATGTGCGGTCGACCGTGAAACCTGCAGATTGTTCTCCTGCATTTTCTCCTGAAGTTCGTCGTCGTTTCTACAGATTCTGCAAAAACTTGGACTCGCAAGGTTTTGATAAGAGGCTAGATGATTTGCATCAGAGATTCCACGAAATGATGGAGGGGATACTGAAGGAAAAGGGGAAGAAGGAAAAAAAACCGAAACTACCGAAGAAAGAGCAAAATATTTGCTTGATATAGCTGATGATGATAATGCTAAGATGAAGAACATCAAGGCTTTCGTTATGGTAAGACCCCCACAACAGCTGTGCATAAAATTATCATGATGCATAGCAGACTTATCTATAAAATGAAATACAGTAAAATTGCATTAATATAGACCATGAGTAAAGCTACTCCCAGATACGAAAAAGTATCTAGTAGTTCAAATACTTAGCAGTTGCCTACCACAGACTGTTGTTGATATGCTAAAGGATGCATCAAAATGTATTTCTATACAAATAGCTCTCTGTTTGAACCTCTCTGTTAGGTCTGGAATTTAAAGGCTCTAGCATAAACCTCCCCCTTCAAACAATATCCATTTTTTTCCGGATTTTTTTTATGTACAACTTATAACCTTGATTTTTCATCTAACAAGTTAACTGATTTCTTCTACACAAAATATAGTGTTGCGCGCCTTTGCGGAAGCGTGCTCGCACACCAAACGAGTTCGTGAGGCACGAGAAAAGATAACCAAACCAAACACGAGTGCAAAAAGATAACCAAACCAAACACGAGTGCAATCCAATTCAAAATACGACAAACCAATCGTAAACATAGAAATATACGTGGTTCGGCAATTTGCCTACGTCCACGGGGAGAGGATGGAAAGATTCCACTAAATCAAAAGAGAGTACAAAGGGTTACAAATCTCTCAAATACTCAAACTAACACAACCAAAAGATCTCTCAACTTGCTCACAAATTCTCCCTCTCAATATGCTCAGAAGTCTCTCTAATCTCTCCTCCGAAACCCTAGAAAATCGTGTTTTAATATATACCAAAACACAATCCCAAAACAAACAAGAAACAAAAGCCCAAGGCCCAGCTCGACATGCGGTCGACCGCGGAAATCGTCGCGGTTGACCGGACAGAACGACAGAATCCAAAAAATCATTACAGGGTTTGGCGGTCGACCGGACCTAACCTCGCTGTCGACCGACCAGAACTCCAGGAACTATCATGTACTCGTGCATGTTTGCGGTCGACCACGCCAAAGCTCGCGATTGACCGCTGGAGATCCAAACATGTATTCTGATATTTTCTTGTTTTCTCTTCGTATAGTACTATGCATCGCTAAAATATATACATTTATGTTTAGGATGTATACCTCAAGTTGGGGTCCCTAGCTTTCCTCCTATATCATCCCTCCTCCTTTTTATCTCTCTGTAATTTCCCTCCGTAATTTCCCTGATTACTGCAGTAAGTAAGACGTGTTGAGACTTCTTGAAGAGTTTTTATAAGCTTGGCAAGAGAAGAGACAAGTGTCTCTGTCTCCCACTTGTCCATTTGCCAACCAAAACTCCCAGTAAAGCGAGAACACTTCTCTCTCACCAATGAAAATTTTTAAGGGGGAACCAATGCATGCCATCTACCTGAGGAAATTTTCTACAAGCCTCCTTTAAGATATGTGAATTTGCATTATTTCTTTATGAGAAGGATATTTGGGATATTGGTGTGCTTTCAGAGTTTATTACTGAAGCTAAAGGGACTTTATTATGTGAATTTACTAGTGCTGTACCCGTGCAATGCCTTGGGAGTTATATTGATGTTTAAGCAAGCAAAAGAAATTATATGTTACATAAAGTTGGGAAATTACAAAGAAATTCTTTATTTATCATATTGCAAATTTCTTTAATCCTTAAATTGGAATTTCAAAAAATTAGGTCTAAATAAAATGTATTTAAATCTCAAATGCCTTGAATAAAAGGAAACTAAAAATAATATACAGTAATCTTACCTGTAACTTGTATTATTGTTTTGTATATAATATCCCTTGAAACTCCAACTTCCCTATAAAGGAAAAAACAAAAGAATTAGCTAATAGAATGACAATATGTCTAAAAACCTTTTTTCCTTCAGAATATAATTTTTGTATCAAATAAAATTATATGAAAGCTAAGAGCTTCATTTTAGGCAAGTAGCAGTCCTACCA